GTCACGGCACACTAGTGTGCCACGGCACAGTGGTTGAAAAACACTGATCTAGAACATAGAGACAAAGCTCAGAAATAACCAAGCACTCTAAGAATTCAGGTTCAAGACAAAAGAAAGATAAAACAAATAATGATACACAAGAGTCCTGGTTGTTACACTTGATGGATTGTATTTCCTCTAAAAGAATTAGTTCATGGCTTTGGGGCTCAAACAAATAGGGAGAACTTCATTTGATGCACTATTTACCGTTTGCATGAGGAAGCCAAAATAGAATCTGCGGGTTCAGATCAGACATTTAAGTAGGACCTATACAAGGTTTTCCTGCCCTGAAAGGTTCATAGATGTAGATAAGATGGCAGGATTTCTCATTGGTGGCCTACGCTTTATAATATGCAAGACGTTACCCTCAGAAGTTCTAATTCTCCATGCTTTTACAAAGAAAGTTAAATTGATGCTATTCCAGTGAGCTTAGACTTCTTAATTTTGTTTGGGCAAGCATCTCAATTAGTTAAATATTATTATTACATTACGACGTCCTAGGCCCCTGGGTGGGGCCCGACTAATAACCAATGCCAAATCCGGCGAAACAACTGGCCGCTGTGATACAATTATTATTATTATTATTTGTTTCATTTTGGGTTGCATTTTCTTACATCATCCAGAGTCTGTATGGATTGGGGCACTTTATAAATATTATAAATAAATGATTTAAACTTATTGTAACAAAATGTTACAACACATGTAATTAGTACTTACTGGACCTTCATTTCCCATAGGGCCAACTTCACCTTTTATCCCCTACATAAAAACATAAAAACAACTTAGATTGAAGTAATTATGAAAAGTACTGTAATTTCTTGTAATGGATTTATGAAAGTGACAATATGTTAGACTATTTGAAAATCATGTTTAAAAGAATTGATATTTAACAATTAGAATCAATTTTAACTTAAACTTTTCTAAATGCTTCTGGATTGAATGTTGTGCTATTTTTTTCTGCGACTAGTTATTATATTCATGACATTTTACTTCTAGATGTCCATTTGTTTCCTAGGTCTTCTTGCAGATTTATTTCTGCAAAATATTTTTGTACTACTTGTGGTAAAAATCAATAACATTACAGAATAGTTAGTAGGAAAATATATTAGTGTAATGGAGAAAGTATGCAAGAGTAAATTCAAGAGATTTATTATATCCAATCCTTTGCAAATTATTTCCAACTATTATTCTAGTATTATATTGAGTAGTGCATTTCCTTCTTTATGACATATAAATGGAAAATAAGATAACTGGATGACATTGTAGTTGGAATGAACAATTAAATCCAAATGATTAAATAGTNTCAACCATTAGCATCAGTCACTGGTATTTGTAATGCATTTTTGAATGTTCAGTTGGCTGAGTTTCATGTTTAATGAATAAAGTATATAATAATATAATATTTCTATACCTGGTTGTCCTAAAGGACCTACTGATCCTACTGGGCCAGGTGGGCCTGGAAATCCAGGATGTCCTTGTGGTCCAATAGCATCAATTCCTGGTTGTCCTCTCTCTCCTTTCTTTCCTTTGAGGCCTGGAGAACCTGGCACACCACTTAGACCAGGTCTTGAAATACCTATAAAACCATGGTAATTGGTTAAAATGCACTTTATGTCTGTTTTTGTAATATGCTTGTCAATGAAGATTTAATTGCAACTTAAAAAATAATAATTTCTATTGCTATTTAATCATAGCAGTTATTTTACTGAGATAATTTTATCCTCGGATAACATACATACCTGGACTTCCAATGTCACCCAAGGGACCTTGTAGTCCTGCAAAATATAACTATTTCACTTCAATGAAATGTTGATATTGTTTTTCAATTATCCCATGATAGCAATGTAAACTGGTACATATCTAAGATACTTACAGAAATCAACAGGGATTTTATATAAAAAGTAGACCCCAGGTTCCCTAACATTTTAATCACAAAGTATTATTTTGTGTTATTTATTCAACTTTTTTACACTATTAAGTATAACTACATCAAAATTTGTTTTGATATCATACCTATATCTTGAATAATCTGTCTGCCTATCTATACACAGAGATCACTGGTTTCATGCTAACCTCTTTTCTGATACACATATGCATATGTACACACACACAAATATACATGCCAATACATCATGTATATGAACAAAATCAGTGTAAAACCCAGAGTAAAATTGCACTGGAAGATAATATTTAAATATTTTTTTTTTCTTCCTCCCTTCCACTTACTTTGTAATGTCATAGTTCCCATTCAAGATGCTTTTGTCTGAGTAGCATGGCTAGTTAGTTCCTCCTAAAACTGACAGTCTCTTACCTATTGGTCCACGCTGACCTTTAGGTCCTGGATATCCTAAGAAGCCCTTATTTCCTTTTGCTCCAGGCATTCCATCATAATACTCAGTCTTAAAAAGAGGGATAGACAAAATGATGTAGAGAAAAAGAAACAGAAAGAAGTTCATCAGTGAAGAGAAGAATGTTGTTCATTAGCAACAATAGCTGGCATAATAAACTGTGTGATATTCTAAGATATATGCCCTATAAAAATATTCAAGGATGAATTTCAGATGCTCCTAAAAATACTTCTTTTCTCTTGTGGCTTTACAGCTGAAGAAAGCAACCTCCAAACAGTTCATTTCTATGTATATGCTCAGATTCATCTATTTAATACAGATTTTGATGTAATAATCCATAATTTGTAACTGAACTCAACTTGCTACCTGTTTTTTTGAGTAGTTAAAGGAAATCAGGTGACTAAAGAGACATCTAGAACAGTGTTTTTCAACCTTTTTTGTGCAAAGGCACACTTTTTTCATGAAAAAAATCACGAGGCACACCACCATTAGAAAATGTTAAANAAAACCTCCCCCTTTTGCTCCTCTTTTGTTTCCTCTGGGAGGGGCCATTCACCGTCGAGCTGTGGCCTTACTCCCAACTCAACCCCTGCTCCTTAGCTGTTTCCTTCATCTGGCAACTCTGCGCATGCGCACAGGCTCCTACTGTTCATCTGCCTCACTGATGTCTGACTCTGAAGGCAGCTGATAACTGGCATACGGCTCTGGCTCCCTCTCTGCCTCTGACACAGAGCCCTCATCAGAGCCTTCCCCAGTTTCCAGGACTGGCCCATCTTCCTTCCCAACCTCCTCACTGTCAGAATCTGCTGCCAGCTCTGCTGGCTGCTAGTGGGCCACAACAATTGGAGAGCCATTTGTCCTGAATGGTATAGGGTCTTCTGTTTGAGCAGGCTGTTGGACTAGAAGACCTCCAAAATCCCATCCAATTCTGTTATTTTGTTTGGATACATTGCTCTTTTTCTTGTCAAGATGCCCTCTTTGAGCCCCCTGCTGCATCCGCTCCCATATCAAACCTTCATCCTTGGAAATAAATCTGTAAAATCGCAAAACAAACCTGTTTGTTTGGCTCTGGTCCAATTGGAAAGTTCTCACCTAGTCTTACTCTCAGCTAAACTCGGGCTTAAGGCAGAAACAATTCTCTTCCACCCAGGGAAAGGGGAAGTAGTGGTATAAAACAGAATGATCTACACCAAAAAGAATTGGGATGAAAAGAGATGGATAGACTGACTCTACAGCTCAAAGGCAAGAGTGACGGGATATCATGAAATCTGGGACAAATGGTACCGATGGTTAGAAATGATGGTAAAAGGTCTGGACGGAAAAAGGCAGGTGAGTTAAGAATTGGGAAATATGGTATTAAGATTGTATGATAGGTAGGAATCGGATATATATTTGTATGTTTAGTAACCAGATAAAAGAAGGGATGAATGGACAGATAATCTGACTGACTACACCTACCTATGTAATGAATACAAACCGTAATTGTTGTAAGATCTGAAAACTATATGGAAATGTTTATGCTAGAAATGTTGCACTATGTCCAGTGTTTTTAATGTTTATATAATTAAAAACTTTTATTAAAAAAAAAACAAAAAAGAATTGGGATGAACAGACAGCATCTCCCGTTATAGGAAACTGCTATGGTTACAAGATCTAACAACAGACACCAGAAGGGACACACATGTGACCCCCTCTGATCAATGATTAACCAGGAGAAAAGCTATTTTGGGAAAGATCAATAATCCCTTGAAAAGCGACATTTCTTTCTCTCTGGAAAACTTAAGCATATGTCCGAGTTAAAATTAAGTTTGCTTCCCCCACCCCTTCACTAAGCAAATCAAGACAAATCCTGCGAGAAATAGGAAACAGTTTTAATTTCAACTGAGGCCAGTTCCGACGGATATCCGTGCAATTGTCGAAAGCAACGAACTGATTTCATCTTCGTCTTTTTTCTTTTTCTTTTTTTTGGAAACTGCTTTCTGAAAATATGAATCTTCACGTAGCAAAATATCATCGGTTGCGGGTGGGAGGGAGAAGGGAATCAGGATAATAAAGCCAGTGTTTAAATAGTGGCTTTAAAATGAACAGTGGACATTAATCCTAGAGGCAACGATTCCTAAAAGCAGGCTGTGTTATTTTAGTCTCTCTTTTTCTTAGCTAATACAGGTAAAGGTGTTTTCCCCCCCCCCCAAAAAAAAGGGCAACTGGACGTTGAGTTTTTCGTTTTTTCTTGGAAAACGTTTTGCTCTTCATCCAAGATGTTTCTTCAGTTCTTCAGAGTTAACAATTAGCCTATTTAATTTGTGGGTCTTGTGATGAGACAAGCGTGGGTGTGTCAAGTGAGGCTCTTGTGATGGGGAAGTAACCTCAGGTGAGGGTCATTGGGGGTGTGTGAAATGCTGGTTGTGGGGAGTTAGGGTTAGGAGGTCGGGGTGCATGGGGGGGGGGGTGTGTGCACACTCAGTGCATTAT